GGGAGAGAGAGGAGAATGACAATATTAAATTTGGGACCATGATACACCATAATAGAAGTTTAACTTGATAAGCCAGAGATTCAGTGATAATTTTAAAAACATAATTATAAATATTACCAATACACACACAATAATCCAGTTGCATTTTTTAAAAATGATTTTTCTATAACTCAAATGTGTTCCTCTGAATTGACTTACTTCCGGAGTCAGGGGCACAAAAATGAAGACAAGGAGCACAGTTGCTGTGATCCTCAGCACAGTTGCTGATGACAAAAGTACAGTTAAGCTGAAATCTTTTGTCAATACTATGCCTTTTCTTTAATACATTCTATTTTTTAATTTCAACGTTTTGAGGTATAATTGATGTATAAAATTGTAAGAACCCTTTTACAATACTGTACCTTTTCATCCAAGGCCTTGTGGTGCTCAAACAAAGATTTCAGCGCCTTGAGAACCTCGACTTCGCTGGAAACTCCCGAGGGGGACTGGGCTTGCCGTTTTACCACTGTCATTCTTAGTGACCTTTCATGTCGTGACACAAGGCACTCCAAATGCTCCAGTAACAGCTATTGGGTTTAACAGAAAATATAATTATGTAATAGATATGAGCCACCAGTGGTATCTAATGATAACCATAGATTATACTATAGGTAGCGCAAAGAAGTTCAAATCTAAGTCTAAACCAGGGTTCATAAAGTACATTAAAAGTAAATTGCATTTATATTAAATAACAAGTGACTACATTTAAAAATATAACGTATATTTTACATATTCTTTTAGAAAATTTAGTAATTTCAGCATGAAATTAGTAGAAGTATAACAAAACATACTATGTGTAATCCAATATGATAATTATTAAAGAATATTGCATAATGCATAATGATTTTTTAATAGCGTTGAAAGTCAAAATTAATTTCATTTACATTTGTTCACTTAAAATTTTGAATGGAAAGAAATGAAGATAATAAATGTGATTATAGTGATAATCACATGTTGTATAGTGATGATCACAATCACATGTTGCTATAATAATTATAATGATAATGACTAATGATTTTATGCACAATTATTAGATTATATAATAGAAAAATATATGCGATCAACCAGAATATGGTAACTGAGATTTGCAATAGTCATTTTGGAAAAAAAAGTTAAAGGACATAAGTTTTAAACTGAGTACCCTATAGGAGCCTACATTCACCCAGAGTAGTCTTTGAGGCCTTTGATAAAGGTAGAGGTAGATAGATCTGTGAGCAGTGTTTCAGTCTGTTCCAGACTATATGTTCTGACTTTTCCCAGAGAAATTTTACTTTTAAATGTTACATGAACTGGGGTTCCACCTTTGTTTTATTTTATAATGGAGTTTTGCCACATTAAAATAAAAATACATGAAAAGAATTAAAAAATTGCGGGGTTATTAATAGTTATTAAAATTTTGCTAGTGACGAACAACGTGTCTCCAGTAAGTTTTGTAGGAGAGCTTTTCAGAAGGATGGTGAAAGCATAGGCTAACAAATAATTAGCCTATGCAAAATAAAGAAGTTAAACAAAAGAGGAAAAAGTCAATAGATACTGGAGTAAAAAGAAGTATGGCATAGGGAATGTAGTCAGCAGTAAAGTAATGACTATGCGTAGACCCAGAGGGAAGATAAGAGTAATCAGGGAGATCATTTCATAAACTATATAAATGTCTCATGAATATACTGTATACTCAAAACTAGTAATAAAAAAGAAAAGAAAAAATAAAAATGAAGAAAATTGAAATGAAAAAAAAAAGAAGTCAAGAGAACAATTTTCTTTTTTTCAGAATTTTTCCTAAAGTTTACATTGTAATGAAAAGTTGTGGCTTTCGAAATGTTACGGTTAGATTTAGTGTCACATACTGTTATCACATTTTTTTTAAAAAAATTATTGGGGTGACATTAATAAAATCAAATGTTTCAAGTATACAATTCAACAGTATGTCATATATACATTGCATTGTGTGTTCACCATCCAAAGTTGATTTCCTTCCATAACCAAATATTTGACCCTTTTACCCCTATCTACCTCCACCCTCCCCTTCTTCCCTCTGGTAACTGCTAATCCACAGTCCGTGTCCATGAGTCTCTGTCTTTTTGTCATGTTTGTTTGTTGCTTTCAGTTTTACATCTCACAGATGAGTGAAATCATATGGTTTTCAACTTTTTCTATGTGACTTATTTTGCTTAGCATCATAATCTCAAGATCTATCCATGTTGTTGCAAATGGCAGTATTTCATCTTTTCTTATGGCTGAGTAATATTCTATTGTATTGGTATCACATTTCTTAGTGCCTAATAAGTTAATTTTTCTACATTAACTGTCCTTAATTATTGTTCAAAGTGTCAGAAAACTTTGCCATGCCATTGGCACAAAAGAACACAAATATCTGAGATTCTAAATGTACACAGATCAGGAGGTAGGAGTCATATTTAAGGGTCAAAATAATAGTAATAGAAATTATATTGTGAAGATGACATAAGTATTAATATTTCAAAAAGTTTTCATTTTATCAACCTCTGATTATATTTATTCCATATTTATTCTATTCTTGAATTCTACAGATACATGTGTGTATTAGTTAAATCCAGGCTGTTTCATGCAGGTTATATAACACCGTATGACCTTAATCCTGCCTATTTCTCCAACATTATTTGGTGTTAGTCTTCTGGCAAACCGTGCTCTAACCATACCAGCTTTCAGTTCCTCAACATGCCAAGTCTTTGCATATGTTGTACCCTCTGCCTGGGATATTCTTCTTTTGGTTTCTTCTTTGGCCAGCTCTTTCTCATTATTTAATCTAAGTTTAAATATCACCCTCTCAATAAAACATTTGCTTCCTACTCTCTGTAAAGTAGGTCACTCCACTTCTCAGCCCTCATAATTCTCTATTTGAATCTCTTGCTTCATTTCTTCATAACATGTCATGTGTAATTTCTTAAGAATAGTTTCACTAAATTTCATTCTGTTTTTTTCATTGAAATATAAACTTCATGAGGGTAGGTAGCATATCTGTCTTGATCTCCTTGATCTCTGTATTTGGGTATTTGGCTTAGTTCCTGACATCTATAGGTATGCAATAAATATTTGTTGAATAAATAGAAACAATGATGAATTAGGTAAATTTTTCAGTGTATATACTGGCCTATATCAAAGCTAAGTCTGCAGCCATGGTTAATTGATAAACATTTTCTAAAAGCTTAAGCTAATCAAAATTGTTATATACATGTTTTACATAGATGATATACTAATAAACAAGTGTTATAATAAAAAGAAAACTGATTTCTCTAACTGTAAATTAGAGATGTCTTGATTTACACAGTAATTTAAAAACTATCTGAACGTCAACATTGCAGGACATTGTGTAGGATACAGAAATATATAAGATATAATCATCACTCTCTAGGAAAGAAACACAATATGAATATTATACTGAAGTTATAAAGAACATTTGTTATTAGAGACTACCTAAACCTTTTGATCACACTCTCTGGCAAGTTCTTCACACTGTTAATCCCACTTTCCCAACATAGAGCACAAAAACAACAATTCTTAGTGTTTGGTGCCACACAGGTTCTACTAATTATACACCTATGCGAGAAATGAGCTGTGTGAATAAGGTATAAGCTGTATAAATAAGTTAGTGAAGGTATCTATTTGGCTGGTATTTGAAGGTATCTATCAGTGTGAAGGGGCAAATGAATTACGATTTTATTCTAAAAAGGATAAAAAATCCCCTTACTATCTTTGCAATAAAGTTCTAAAATTTGGTCTTAAAAGTTCAGGCTACAGACTGTTTTTATTAAGAAATTCTTAATATCTATTAAAAACTACTGTTTGCTTAAACTAGCTAGATTGTTAATTCTGTTATCTGTAATTAAGAATGCTGTGACATTGAAGTAATTAGGCTGTGTCTACTGCTACGTTTGTAATAGTCACCTGCCATGCCTTGGGTCACTCTCCATTACTTCTTAAATATTTTAGCAAGTAGATAATTGTCACTTTTTCTAGCACTACCACAGCCACAATTCTTGGTGATTTTTATTATTCAGTTAGATGATTTCCCCAGCATATTGGCCTCTACATTTCTAGACCTGTGTACTCCAATGGTCTCAACTTCTACCCTATTTCCATAACCCACATTCATGGTTTCACTGTAGATTCCACTGTTATCAATAAGTGCAACTCTCCCCAAATTTTAGTTTTTATCATATAACTCACAGCATTACATTTTAATTTACTTTAGATACTCAAACTCTAAAAATACTTGCACCCTCAATCTCTTTATTTTAAAAATATGTTACAGCCCCTCACCATACTCATGCCTTCACTTTCTTATTCATCTTAAAATTTATAGTCCAGTCTTTAAAATCACTCTTTTTTCATGTTCTTGCAAATTCTAGAATCTTACCTCTTCCCACCTACATCCATTGTTACCACCTGAGGCCAAGACACATAATCTACCCCTGAATTATTATAATAGCTTCTTAACTGGTCCCCCTGTTTCCATCATTTCATTTCATCAGACTGTTCTCAAACATTATTTAAGTTAAAATGTAAGTTAGGTTATGTACCACTGCTTAAATCCTCAATGTTTTCTTATTTTCTCAAGTAATAGCCAAAGTCCTTGCAAGTACCAAAGAGATCTAAATTATCTGAACTCATCTCCTAGTCTTCTTACTCTAACTGCTTGACATCATTTCAGTTTTGTTTTGTTTTATTTTTTTAAATATATCAGACTTCCATGCTCTTACATAAGATCCTTTGTGCTTGCTGTTTTCTCTGCCTAAAACATTTTTTTTTTCAGATACCCACATGACCATCCCATTCCACCATCTCTATCTTATTTTTATTCAAATCTCACCTTTCAACAAGGCTTTCTCTAGTCACCTCCTGCACTAAAAATCCTCTTTCCAGCTTTATTTTTTTTCTTATTTGTCTATATCTAGTATACTATTTATTTTATAATTTATCTTATTTACTGTCTGTCAAAAAACAATGAGGTCCATGATAAAAGATGTTTTTTTATTTTATTTTGTTCTTTGCTGTATTGTCAGTGCCTAGAAGATTGGCACATAGATGTTCTTAAACTTTTGTCGAATGAATAAATGAATCTTGATTAAAGCAGTAGTTTGTAACAGGTATGCTTATAAGTAACAATTCCGCAGACAAATGGGAATTCGGGATATATGACCTGGATAGATCGGACTAAGCAATGATCAGATTAGTATCAAAAGAAGAGACATTATCTTCTTTGTTACATGGAGGTAAAATAGTTATTTAAATAATCTCCTGAGTTCCCCGGAAATGAGGTGCCTCTGAAAGTAAGGCTTATATGGACTGAGGCATAGCTACAATAGACCGTTTTGATGGGCATGAAGAATATACAGACAATGAGGTAAGCTAAATGCTTTGAACTGCACTTTTCAGTTTAAAGAAAGAAAATGACAAGTTTAAAGTTTTAAGTTTTTAGGTTAAGCCTCAGAGAACCCAGGATTTTTTTTTAATAGCTGCTCATAATAACCTCTTACTGAGACCCAAGACA